CCCCAAGGCCCCACAAGGTCAGATCTCAGACTACCCACCCTCACTATGTAACGGAGCCGATCAAAGGAGCCCACAGAGATTGATCCAATGTGTCGGCAGATGCTGTTTCGAGACTAATATGATCTAACAGAAGATTTTTATACTGATTAATGCTAAGATTATTTTTATTTTTCCAATTCAGGAGTATGGTTTTCTTTGTGATGCATAAGGCAGTGAAAATCATGCGACATGTATTTTTTTCCAGGGTAACATCTTCCAAGATAGCCAATAAGCAAACAGATGGAGAGAGTGGAATATTACATTTCAGACATTTAGACAAGTCTTCACAAACCTGGACCCAGAACCTCTGAACGGGTGGGCAGAACCAGAGTGCATGGATATAATAATCAGGAATATTGCCTGTGCACTGTGAACAGTTGTTAGATGATATAAATCCCATCCTAAACATTCGCTGACCTGTATAATGTACTCTATAAAGAACTTTATACTGTATTAATTGTAAGTTGGAGATTCTAGTCATTTTAAATGTTCTTAAACATATTTGAGACCAGGTGTTTTGGTCAAAATTGATTGATAAATCTGACTCCCATTTTGCAACAGGTAGCATTATGGAGTCATTGATTCTAGACAATTTCTTGTATATTTTAGATAATAATTTGGGGGATTTAAGATTAAGGAACTCTAACACACATATTGGTGTTTCTAACAAAGTTTTATTAAGCTTAAATTTCTTTTTTATGATAGACTTAATTTGTTGATATTCTAAGATGTATTTATTTTCAATGTAAAATTGTATTATTAAATTATTAAATGGAATAAAGTCTACACCTTCATATATGTGTTCCAGACGTTCAATTCCCTTGACTCTCCAACCTGGGAAATTTAACATATTATTTTCTTGTAGGATGTCAGGATTGTTCCAGATGGCTGTATGTCTACAGGGGAGTAGTGAAGATTTTGTCATTTTCAAATACTCCCACCATGCTGTCAGAGAAGAGCTAACACTGATGCTTTTAAAGCAAACATGTCTTTTTATATTTGTGCTAATAAACGGTAGATCTGAAATCTTAATATTATTGCATAAAGTTTGTTCTATGTCTATCCAAGTTTCATCTAATGTATTTGGATTTAACCACTTTGAGATATATTGTAACCTATTGGCTAAATAGTAGTGATAGAAGTTGGGAAGTTCTAATCCTCCGGTATCTTTAGATTTCTGTAATGCTTTTAAGCTAATACGTGGAGTTTTGTTTTTCCAAAGGAATTTAGATATCAAAGAGTCCAGTGACTTAAACCATTCAGTTGAAGGTTTATTTGGAATCATTGAGAATAAATAGTTTATTCTCGGCAGGACCATCATTTTTACTGAGGCAACTCTTCCCATAAGTGATATGGGCAGAGATTTCCATCTAGTAAGATCATCTTCAATGTTCTTTAAAATTGGGATATGATTCAATTTTATTAAGTCTTCCAATCCAGGAGAAATATTAATGCCCAAGTATGTGATGTTACCTGATTGTAGTCGTTCATTGAGAGAAGTATTAAACACGCAGTTTATTGGAAGAGCTGTAGATTTTGACCAATTTATAGAATAATCAGAAACTTTTGAGAACGAGTTTATTAATTCGATAACATTAGATATTGAGTTTTCTGTGTTCTGAAAAAAAAGTAAAACATCGTCAGCATAAAGACTAATTTTATGTTCTATATTTCTACACAGTATACCTTTAATATCAGCAGTTTGTCTTATTGCTGCTGCTAAAGGTTCAATAAAAATAGCAAATAGTGCTGGTGAAAGTGGACATCCCTGCCTGGTCCCCCTCTGTAAACAGAAGCTTGAAGATATTTGATTATTTGTCCTGACACATGCTCTTGGTGAGTTATATAATATTTTTAACCAATTAATGAAATGGTCCCCAAAACCAAATTTACTCAATGTAGCAAATAAAAATTTCCAGTTTACCCTATCAAATGCTTTTTCTGCGTCCAAAGACAAAATAGCTGTTTCAATATTTTTACTATATGAATACTCTATTAAATTATATAATCTGCGTGTGTTTGTGGTCGAGTGTCTTCCTTTTATGAATCCAGTTTGGTCAGGATGAATAATGAGAGGAATTATTTTCTCTAATCTTTTAGAGAGGACTTTACTAATTATTTTAACATCCACATTAATAAGAGAGATGGGGCGATAACTGGTAGGTAGTACTGGGTCTTTGCCTGGTTTTAATAGTAAACTAATGTTGGCTGAATTCATATGTGTTGGAAACCTGCCATTTTCTTCTGACTCATGTAGCATTCTGTGAAATATTGGTTCCAGGATGTTCCAGAACTCTTTATAAAATTCTGCTGGATATCCATCTGGGCCTGGAGATTTCTTATTAGGCATGTTTTTAATGGCTTCACGGAGCTCATCTGATGTTAATGGTGAGTCTAGTTCTGAAGATTGACTACTGTCTAGTTTTGGAAGTATTACTCTCTCCAAGAATTGATTAATATCTTCATCTGTTGGATTTATTTGTGGAGTGTATAGAGTTTTATAGAAATCTCTAAAAACACTATTTACTTTTTCCTCGTCATAAGTTATGTTACCATTTGTGTCTTTGATACCATATATAGACGTTTTTTCTTTATTTAATTTGAGTTGATTAGCTAAAAAGCTACCTGATTTATTACTGTGTTCAAAATGTTCTAAGCGAAGTCTTTGTATCAAGAATTTGTTTTTTTTGTCAATACATTCATTTAGTTCTAATTTTATCTTGCGTAGTTTTTTCTGTGTTTCCTCTCCTTGTAAACTTTCTAATAATTTGATAGATTTTTCTAATTCCTCAATACGTTTATTTTCTTTTTTCTTTTTGTTTGTTGCGTAGGATATTATTTTCCCTCTCTTAACTGTTTTCCCAGCCTCCCAGAGTGTACACGCTGATGTACCTGGCAAGTCATTAAACTCTAAATACGATCTCCATTCATTTTTAAAGTATTGTATAAATTCTTCGTCCATAAGCAGTGAGGTATTTAATCTCCAGTTTATACTTTTTGAGATTTCATTCTTATTATCTAAATTTAAAGTAACTGGTGCATGATCGCTGACAGCAATAGGGTGTATCTTAGTGTCTGAAATGTTGGTCAGCAATGAGTTGCTGATTATAAAATAATCCAAACGAGAGTAAGAGTGATGCACATGTGAAAAGAAAGAATACTCTTTACTATTAGGGTGAAGAGACCGCCATGCATCGCAGAGTCCATAATCACTCATGTACTGTTTAACTACATTTATGGATTGCCAACTGCGTTGAGCTCCTACTGCATTCAGCCTGTCTATTTTGTTATCTAAACCAAAGTTAAGATCACCTCCCAGTACCAGTGAGCAACCCATGTGATTTGATAGAGTAGAGAAGAGATCATGAAAAAAACCGGCATCATCCACATTTGGCCCATATAAGCTAACAATACAATATTTTTGACTGAGTATGGATAATTTTAATATTATATATCTACCTTGCGGGTCCATAACTGTGTCTAATATTGTGAAGTTCACATTTTTATGTATTAATATTGCTACTCCTCTCTGTCTTGAGTTATAGCAGGCTGAAGATACATCAGGAAACTCAGGAGATTTTAGCTCATCCACAGTTGACGGTAATTTATGAATTTCTTGGAGTAATACAACATCTGCCTTTAATCTTTTAATCTGGCTAAAGATTCTATTTTTTTTATGTTGGCTACCGGCTCCATTAATATTCCATGTGACAAACCTTAAGATGCCCATATTTGTGCTTGTGAAAATATAATTAAACCACACCCATTATCACAAATATCAATAATGGTAAAACACCCAGACAATAACATAATCCTTAATGATTGATTATTTATAATTTATAGATAAACTAAGTGCTGTTTTTGAAGGTAAATCATGGATGTATTCCTTTATGAGGTATTTGTATGTATGTATATGGATATATATAAGCCTTTGTGCCTGTGTGCTAATAATTGTTGAGTCAGAAAAATAGAGACAAAAAAAAGAAAGTGAAATGATAATAAACACGTAAGATAAAAGAAGAAAAAATAA